TGTGTGTAGAAACCATTAAAAGATGAATTTATTTTAATTGTTGTATATATTGTGCTTTAACTGTCCGACAGAAACACGTATTTTTATATTAGTTTGATTCAACTAATGAAATTAAATGACTAAATGGCATGACTAAACACTAATAATATTTAGTACTTTATGAGTAAATAACTAAAACTCAACAGATCAAAACACCGACATTAACGTCATAACTTGCTTGATTTTTTGTACTCGTCTCACAACACAGACAGGAGAAAGAGAAAAATAAATATAAACCCCGTTTTTAAGCTTGGCTTCTTGTTGTTCAGCTTTTTTATTTCAACTTACAAGCAGGTTATGTTGCTATGAGCTGAGCTAACACGAGGTTGAATCTTCCGCGGGGACTCACACGACTTTACCAACAATAAAACAATAAAACATTACGCCAGCCTCATGTTCTAACTGCAGGTTTGTGTCAAACAGAAACATAAACACGAGCTTTCACCTGTTAACGCTGTGAGAGACTGGACAGAGTTCCTGGAGCGACACTTTACACGCGTGTGCAACAGCGAAATGATGCCGGGTGGAAACATTGACTTCATTCCACGTCTCTTCAGTTACTTCGTGTTTAATCCATGGTGGGCTTTGATGTAAAGTAATACTGTAATTGCTATTATCGCCTCTTTTGGCTGCATTGACAAAACTTTAGGTCAAGTATTCCCTAACTGATGCATATTGCCCACCGCCTTTCATACAAGAGTTTTTTTGTTTGTTTTCCATTCAGCCTTTATTTAAACAAGTTAGTTACTGGAGTCACAAGGACTCATTTTAAAGAGACTTACACAGACAAGACAGCATATAAAGTGTAGACAACAATTATTCAGCAAAAAGCAGTTAAAAATAAAAGTAGTTATAAAAATGGTAAAATCAAGGTTTCATATAAAACAAGGTAAATATACTTAACAAGAATACACAGTACTTGCTTTGATATTTCTATTGACATTATCAAATGTTTAAAATCTCTTAAAGAAATCAAAATGGACAGCTTCAGATCTTATTGCAAGGTGTTCCATGTTACAGGAGCAGAGTAAGAAAAGGCCTTTTTGCCCAGTTCATGATCCCACCTCTTGCACAGTGATAGCTGACATGGCACCAGTGACCATCGCGACCCAAAAAAGGAAGAAGCGAGTAATGAACAAAACAAATGTCAAGGATAGAAAAAATTACAAATATAAAACATGTTGAGCAGAGTACATAAAGACTACTGCAGAGTGAAGTAATATGGTCAGTTTGTCCTCCAACAGTCTATAGCAGCACAACTAAGGGACAGCTCAGGAAACCCAAGCCAACCCTAACTATAGGATTTATCAAAAAGGAAAGTCTTAAGCCTAGTTTTAAAACTGGACAATGTGTCAGCCTCATGGACAGAAACTGGAAATTGGTTCCACAAGAGAGGAGCCTGATAACTGAAAGATCTGCCTCCCATTCTGCTTTTGGAAACTCTAGGAACCACAAGTAAACCTGATGTCTGAGAGTAAAGTGTAACAGGCGCTTGAGTACAATTTGTTTCTTATTGTCATGGCAACCGAGAAGTTGGCAAGTCGCTGTTTTCCCATGATCAAAATATATTTACTTCTTTGAGTAATATTCTATATTCAGGTACGTCAAATGTTTGCAACATGTTTCTTAGAATTTATGTTGGTTTACTGAGTTTATGATTTGTTTGAAACACATAACAGCGAACCAGAAGTGGGACTGAAAGAAAAATAAGCCAAACAGACAGAACAGCACGAAGGCTGCCTCATATTTCTGCAACTGGTTTTTAGCTGGCGAACATGGTAATGTTAAAAGTTACATTGTTAAGCCCTGTATACTATAATATTGTGAGAGAAAGAAAAAAGAACTCAGTGTTGTATGTTGTTTACGGACGTTTATGCTTAAAGATGTATTGTATGTTTTTTTATATAGTTTTCATGGTGTTCCGTGGTTCTAGAGTGGAATAAAGAAACTGGACATCAGTATGAAGCGTGGATTTTTGAGACCAGTGCAGTTACAGTGAAAACGTGACCCAATTCTGCCCCACCACGGCTCCACCCTGCTATTATCACAGCTTCATCCTATATGATCATCAGGCTTCAGAGTGCAGCATTACTTCAGAACTTTGCATTGTGCTGCAGGTTTCAACAGAAAGTAAGGTCAGAGGGAGAAGTAAAACAAAATCCCCTGTAATGAAGAGTTAAAATATCATCCTGTACAGAGAGTGGTGCATTTAAATGAACTGGGACAGTCATAAGTCTTGAACTGTGCTTTAAGGACAAAAACAACAGCAAAAACTAACATTTCCAGTATTACTGAAAATTAATCTGTTTATAGCAGAACTTAGTGCCATTAAGTTACTGTTTTTTGTTGCTAAGGTTTCTATAAGTACTGAAAGTAGTCTATTGGATTTTTCTATTTATGACAAATTTATTGTTCTAGGTAAGATTGCACATCTTTGAAAGTACTGATTTCTAAAAGCTAAAACACGTCGGCTCACAGATGATCTTCAAATAGAAGACCATGAAGATTTGATATCTGAGGCTGCCCCAGGGAGAAAGCATCTGACATGGAAGGTAACACTATAACATATGAGCATCCTTCTAAGGACTTTAATTCAACTGTGTCAAATACAGACAAGACACGAAAATAAACTCGTGACAGACGACTCACACCAAAGATGCAAGAGCTGAAAGAACAAGAATCGAGAACAATTCCAGTCAATTTATGAAAAATGAAAAAATCAAGTAAGAGAAGAAAAAGGTTGAAAGTTGTAGATGTGTCATATTTTCCTAAAAAAGTTCAATTTCTTGTTTGAAACATTTATTATGTTTTCTCTGTTCCATTGTAAACAGGATATTAGATTTATTAATCGTTGCTTTCTGTTTTTATTTACATTTTACAGGATGTCCCAACGGGCAGCAAGGTGGTGCAACTGGTAGAGCTGCTGCCTCTCAGCGAGCAGGTCCCTGGTTCAAACCCCGGTCCAGGGGCCCCTCTGGGTGGAGTTTGCATGTTCTCTCCGTGCATGCTTGGGTTTTCACCGGGTACTCCGGTTTCCTCCCACAGACCAAAAACATGCATGTTAGGCTGATTGGTAACTCTAAATTGTCCCTAGGTGTGAGTGAGAGAGTGAATGGTTGTTTGTCTCGTTTGTCTCTATGTGGCCCTGTGATGGACTTGCGACCCGTCCAGGGTGTACCCCGCCCCTCGCACAGTGATTGCTGGACATGGGCACCGGCGACTCCCGTGACCCAAAATGGAACAAGCGGGTAAAGAAAATGGATAGATGGAATGTCCCAACACGTCAAAGTTGAGTTTGTACTTCTTTTGTATTACAATGTTCTGTTCTTATTTTTGGAGACTTTTTAGTTTTTACACATTTTCATGCTTTTGCTTGTTTGTTGTGCACATGTTAACAATACTTGAATAAAAATAGTGAAAGTGGAAAATTGTTGTTATTGTGGCAGGTGCAGTGTGTGTGTGTGTGTGTGTGTGTGTGTGTGTGTGTGTGTGTGTGTG